GTTGTTGTTGTTGTTGAGATGGAGTTTCAGTGTGTCACCCAGGCTGGAGTGCAGTGGCATGATCTGGCCTCACTGCAAACTCCTCCTCCTGGGTTCAAGCCATTTTCGTGCCTCAGCCTCCTGAGTAGCTGAGATTACAGGTGCCTGCCACCACACCTGGCTAATTTTTGTATTTTTAGTAGAGACAGGGTTTTACCATGTTGGCCAGGCTGGTCTCGAACTCCTGGCTTCAGGTGATCCGCCCACCTCGGCCTCCCAGAGTGCTGGGATTACAGGTGTGAGCCACCTCACCTGGCTCTTGTAAAGTGTTTTAATCATCCTGCTTTACTGTTCGGGAGGTGGGGTTGTGATCTCAGAGGTGCTTCTCTCTGCTCCTGCTAAGGGACCCCCCCTAGGCAGTTCAGTCCTCGCCTCTGTCCAGGAGACAGCATACCTGGAAGTGTAGTTGGGTCGGTCCTGCCCCGGTGCTGCTGCTGTTTTAGGTAAATATCCTGTGGGGTCAAAGAGAAAATCCCAAGTGCACCTGTGGAACGCCATGGGCATCCCCCCCGCACAGGACAGTGGGAGAATTGGGGTGTTGGGGGTCAGTGTAACCTCAGCAGCTTAGCTTCACTCTGTCCCGCTCCATGCCTTTTTTTAAATTTATTTATTTATTTTTAGATGAAGTCTTGCTCTGTGCAGTGATCTTGGCTCACTGCAGCCTCTGCCTCCTAGGTTCAAGAGATTCTCCTGCCTCATCCTCCCGAGTAGCTGTGACTACAGGTGAGTGGTGCCACACCTGGCTAATTTTTGCATTTTTAGTATAACTGGGGTTTTGCCATGGTGGCCAGGCTGGTCATCAACTCCTGACCCTAGGCCATCTGCTCACCTCAGCCTCCCAAAGTGCTCAGATTCCAAGCATGGGCCACCATGCTCAGCCAAGCCCTCCTCCGTTCTAATCCCACCTCCTGTGAAAGGCTTCTGGAAGCTTAGAGAAGCAATGGCCCCAGTATAATGGCTCTCTTTCCCTTGCTTCCTGAGTTTTGGGGACCCACAGTGAGGAGTGACTATTTTCCTCACTCGCCTAGATGTGATGTGATGAGCCTGGCCAGAGAAGTTAGCTGTTACTGACTTGCACGTGTTCAGGACGCTGCCCTGTGGCAATTGCCCCCAATAAAGCCTCATGCCTCAGTTTGCTCAGCTAACTTCGATCTCCAGCCCTGCCCCAGGCTGTGTTACGCTCGTTTCTGTCATGGCATCTGGGACTCTCCCATGTGATACTTTATTATTTATTTGAGTTGGGATATCACTCTGTCATCCAGGCTGGAGTGCAGTGGCATGATCTCAGCTGACTGCAACCTCTGCCTCCCGGGTTCAAGTGATTCTCCTGCCTGAGTCTCCTGAGTAGCTGGGATGACAGGCACGTGCCACTACGTTCCGCTAATTTTTGTATTTTTAGTAGAAACGGGGTTTCTCCATGTTGGTCAGGTGGGTCTCAAACTCTTGGCCTTGTGATCCACCCACCTCACCTTTCCAAAGTGCTGGGATTACAGGTATGAGGCACTGCGCCTGACCCGTGTGACACTTCAATAAAGTCAGGTGTGTAGGTGATGGCTGCCTGATCGGCTTCCCACCATGAATCAGTTCTACGGGCTGTGTGGCCTGGAAATTCCTCAGTTCCTTATGCTGGTAAGGGAAGAAGGAAGAGGGGGCCCTCGGGGGACATGCGGCGAGGTTTGGTGGGGACGTAGCTCACCAGATGGTACTTGGTGTTTCCATCTAACTTGTAACCACTCTCATAGAAGGTGGCCTAGAACCCCAGGGAGAAGGGATTGCTCAGTATCACCTAGGGGTGGGGGGAAGAGAATCCGAGGTTGTACAGAGCGAGCAGGCAGGACAGGGCAACCAGGGCCAGGTGCGGTGGCTCACCCCTGTAATTCCAGCCGTTTTGGAGGGTGAGGCAGGTGGACCATTTGAGGTGAGGAGTTTGAGACCAGCTGGGCCATGTGGTGAAACCCCGTCTGTACTAAAAATACAAAAATCAGCCAGGCTTGGTGGCAGGAGCCTGTAGTCCCTGTTACTTGGGAGGCTCAGGCGGGATAATTGTATGAACCGAGGAGGCAGAGGTTGCAGTCAGCTGAAATTGCATCACTGCACTCCAGCCTGGGTGACAGAACGAGAGACTCCATCTCGATAGAATTAAATAAAGCCCATCTTTTAAACAGTTCTTCTAGCAGATGAGGGATAGAGGAGCACTTCCTTACCCTGGTAGCTCTGAGTGTCCAGTCTGTGCCCTTGCCCACCACACTTGATAGGGAAACAGTAGAGCAGCCTCCACTGCAAGCTGTACTGAAGACCCCACCCACACAGTGAGAGTTCCCTTGAGCCTGCACTTTGGGTTGGATGTATCCCGAGCTCAATGTGTCGTGTGCTAAGGCTCCACCCTCCCCTTGGCTGGGAAGTGTGTCTTGGTCTTCTGTCTCCAGGGTGCTGGTGGCAGAGGCTGACATGGGGTGGGCGCTTCATAGACGCTTACTCAGTTTCCTAGGAACTCAGCAGGCTGGGCCTAACACCACTGCCTGCAAAGGCCTGGCTGGTCTGGAACTCCTGACCTCAGGCAATGCACCCACCGTGACCTCCCAGAGTGCTAGGATTACAGGTGTGAGCCAGCGCGCCTGACATCCCTTCCTCCTTAAGGCTGAGTCATAGTCTGCTGTGCAGATGGATCACACTGTGTTTATCTTTTCATGTGATGGTGGACCCGTCAGTTAATTTTGCCTTTTGGCTGTTGTGAATCACGCTGCTGTGAGCACAGGTGTGCAAATGCCTCCCTGAGTTTCTGCTTTCTATTCTTTTGGGATGGATGGCCGTGGCTTTGTTAGAGCAAATGGTAATGCTGTGTGTAAGTGTTTTGAGGGACCACCGTTTGTAAAGTGTTTTGTTGTTGTTGTTGTTGTTGAGATGGAGTTTCAGTGTGTCACCCAGGCTGGAGTGCAGTGGCATGATCTGGCCTCACTGCAACCTCCTCCTCCCGGGTTCAAGCTATTTTCGTGCCTCAGCCTCCTGAGTAGCTGAGATTACAGGTGCCTGCCACCACACCTGGCTAATTTTTGTATTTTTAGTAGAGACAGGGTTTCTCCATGTTGGCCAGGCTGGTCTTGAACTCCTGGCCTCAGGTGATCCGCCCACCTCGGCCTCCCAGAGTGCTGGGATTACAGGTGTGAGCCACCTCACCTGGCTCTTGTAAAGTGTTTAATCATCCTGCTTTACTGTTCCGGAGGTGGGGTTGTGGTCTCAACCGTGCTTCTCTCTGCTCCTGCTAAGGGACTCCCCTTAAGCAGCCCAGTCCCTGTGTCTGTCCAGGAGACAGCATACCTGGAAGTGTAGTTGGGTCGGTCCTGCCCCAGTGCTGCTTCTGTTTTAGGTAAATATCCTGTGGGGTCAAAGAGAAAATCCCAAGTGCACCTGTGGAACGCCATGGGCATCCCCCCCGCACAGGACAGTGGGAGTGATGGGTGTTGGAGGGCAGGTGAACCTCACGTGGCTTAGCGTTGCTTTGTCCCCCTCCCTGATTTTTTTTTTGAGAAGGAGTCTTGCTCTGTTACCCAGGCCGAAGTGCAGTGTGATGTGATCTTGGCTCACTGCAGCCTCTGCCTCCTTGGTTCAAAAGATTCTCCTGCGTCATCCTGCTGAGTAGCTGAGTAGTTGGTGCAACGGGACCCTGGTGCGCTGGGCTTGTCTCCGGGACTGGGGCTGGAGCTCAGACGCTGGAAGGCAGGGAGCCCCAGATAGGGCCCTGGGGAGCTCTCGCATTTCGGAGGCAAGTCCTGGGCCTGCTGGCTGGGGACCTTCAGGTATCTGGTCCCAGGGGTAGAGCCGTTGAACACGAGGCTCCCACTGTGCCATGGCTGCCTCACAGGGCCCTACTCACTCGACCCCCGAACACGAGAATAAATAGAATATCTGAATAGACCTGTATCTTTTAAATAAATTGCATTTGTAATTAAAATCTTCCCACAGGAAGAACATAGGCAAATTATGTACTGTTCATGTTTTACCAGTGAATTGTGCCAAACAATTGAGGAAAAATCAATACCATTTGTGACAATTTTATGCTCAAACACACATTCTGCCAGTTTGCCTTTTTATCCAGGGCAGGGGAGGATTTATCTACAGTTTCCTGTCTTCTGCTGATAAATATTTGTCCTTCGGGTGTTAACTCCCTTGCATTTTCAGGTTGTAAATGTGTAAGTGGGTATTGGTAAGGAGGTTCCCACAGGTCAGAGAAGCCATGGGGTAGAAGGTGAAATATATGCAGGGAGGTGCTGTCACGTTACGCCTGTATGAAACTGGTTGCCGCTCCCTTCTTTCTTTTGATTGGACAGTGTAATCCATTCTATATCACTACAAGAGAGATTCCAGAAGAATTAAGCCTCAGTTGTCCCCACCACATTTCTGTTTGCTTTTGTTATTTCCTAGTTTCATTTTTCCCAGTTTCATCTGTTACCTGAGATTACTTCCTAAACAAGTCAACTGCATGCAACCAATAAGCTAAGATACCAATTTACAAACTGTTTGGGAAAATTATAGACATTCAACAACTTTTTAATGAGGCTGGTATAACTTTGATACTAAAACCTGACAAGAACATTTTGAAAAAGGAAACTTATACTCAAGTCTCATTTATGAATATATGAACTTATATGAATATATATATTCATGAATATATATACACACATACTATAGTCACAGATAAATATTTAGCAAATCATATCTGACAATGTCATTAGATTATTTACAGTCATTCATAAATATATCCATAATGTAAATATCTGTATTTTGAATTATGAAAAAATGCTATGACATTTAGGGAAACAGTACTCTGAATAGAATTCTCTGTTGTGGTCCGTTTGCACGTCTTACATCTTCTCTTTCTGCATCTCTGTATCTGTCCTGGGTTTGTGCATCACACACGGTTTCTTACAGAAGCAGATGGTTCACCTTATTCTGTAGTGTTGTCTTTTGGAAGTCCTCAGCTCTGCTAAAAGCACAGAGGATCGTACTGTAACACAGAAAGTAGAAAGTGTGTGCATCTCTGAAATATACTTATTATTAAAACTCATCTGTTTTTTAGAAACTGATTTGGGAGGAAAAAAAAGAGAGAGAGAAGCTTCTAAATTACCCTTTACCCAAACAAACTTCGAGTCATCAAAGTTACCACCATTTAAGTTTGTAAAAAATATATATATTTTGTATGTGTAGCGAACAGCATTGCATTTCTTTCTGTGCCATGTGCTGCAAAGTGAAGCATGTTGAGCGTGATGAAGCATGGCACTGTCATTTCCAGGAAAACATACTTTAATGACATTGAAGTGCATATTTGGCCAAGAATGGACTGCAACCCTTCTGTGCAAACAACGATGAGATACTGAGGACAAACTTAAAACTGCTGAAGAATATTACTTTTCAAGTCCCAAACCTATGTATGGTTCTTTGTTACATACTCATTAATGAAAGCCAAGGGGACCAGGGAAGGGAACTAGGAACTGCTGCTTGCTGTTTCTTCACTAATTGGATCAGAGAGCATTACAAACTATGATTAAAAAGATTATACTTGCTTCATTGCATCTTTTCTCTCAATATGTATTTAGGAAAACCTAAGTTATTTTTAAATTTTTTTTAAGGGGGGGTTTCACCATGTTGGTCAGGCTGGTCTTGAACTCCCGACCTCAGGTGATCCACCTGTCTTAGCCTCCAAAGTGCTTGGATTACAGGCGTGAGCCACCACGCCCAGCCATTTTTAAATATTTTAACAAATTGCAGTTTCATCCAAGTAATATTTTCTTGTTATATAGTACCACAGGAATTCTGAATATTGATCAGCCTTTAAAGTTTTTTTCATTGCTTCATTTTATTACTTGTTTTTGTTTGTTTGTTGTTTGTCTTTTAAGATGCAGTCTCACTCTGTCGCCCAGGCTGGAGTGCAGGGGCTTGACCTTTGCTCATGTCAACCTCTAACTCCCAGGTTCAACCAATTCTCCTGCCTCAGCCTCCCGAGTAGCTGGGACTACTGGCATGCACCACCATGCCTGGCTAATTTTTTATTTTTAGTAGAAATGGGGGGTCTCACCATGTTGGCCAGGCTTGTCTCAAACTCCTGACCTCAAGTGATCGGCCTGCCTTGGCATGAGCTACCATGCCCAGCCAGAACTTAAATTAACAAAATTATCTTATGTGAAAAGAAATATTCATGCAGCCGGGCGTGGTGGCTCAAACCTGTAATCCCAGCACTTTGGGAGACCGAGGCGGGTGGATCACAAGGTCGAGAGATCGAGACCATCCTGGTCAACATGGTGAAACCCCGTCTCTACTAAAAGTGCAAAAAAATTAGCTGGGCATGGTGGCACGTGCCTGTAATCCCAGCTACTTAGGAGGCTGAGACAGGAGAATTGCCTGAGCCCAGGAGGCGGAGGTTGCGGTGAGCCGAGATCGCGCCATTGCACTCCAGCCTGGGTAACAAGAGGGAAACTCCGTCTCAAAAAAAAAAAAAAAAGAAAAAGAAAAAGAAAAGAAATATTCATGCAAGAAAACATAGAGAAAACAAAAAGATAATGTGTGAAAATATCTCAAATCCCACTTGCTTAGCAATAGCTATTAAATGTTTTGGGAGTGTGCATGTCTATAAATGTGTCTGTGTGCATCTATCTATCTACCTACCTCTGTCTGTCTGTCTGTCTGTCTATCTGTCTATCTATCTATCTATCTATCTATCTATCTCCTTTAGATGGTACTATATATACTTTTTGAGTTTAAAAAAAGTTTATTTAGAAGTAATTTAAATGTTATGAAAGATTGTAGCCGGGCGCGGTGGCTCAAGCCTGTAATCCCAGCACTTTGGGAGGCCGAGGCGGGTGGATCACGAGGTCGAGAGATCGAGACCATCCCGGTCAACATGGTGAAACACCGTCTCTACTAAAAATACAAAAAATTAGCTGGGCATGGTGGCGCGTGCCTGTAGTCCCAGCTACTCAGGAGGCTGAGGCAGGAGAATTGCTTGAACCCAGGAGGCGGAGGTTGCAGTGAGCCGAGATTGTGCCATTGCACTCCAGCCTGGGTAACAAGAACAAAACTCCGTCTCAAAAAAAAAAAAAAAAAGATTGTAAAAACAAAGTACACGTGTGGGCGCACACACACACACACACCCCCTTTATCCAGATTTTTATTTTGTCTCACCATTTGTTCTCTGACTCTGTCTTTCACACACAGACACCTCTTTTATTGTGTCTAGACTTCCAACCGGTTTTGTTAAAGCCAGGTTATAGAGAGTCACTCATGTTTTACTCTAGGACTTGTAGAGTTTCATTGTTTTCATTTAGATCTCTACTTCATTTGTAGTTTATTCTTATGTATGTTGTATGGAATTCATCTTATTTTTCTAATTGTCCTAACACAATTAATATGTATCAATCTTTGCCCAGTGATTTGCAATACTATCTTGATTATATATGGAATTTCTACATGTATTTTGGTCTATTCTGTACTTTCTATTCTATTTCATTGATCTGTCTATTCCCTTGCCAGTACCTCACTGTATTGATATAGATGCTTTGTAATATGTTTTATTTTCTGGTAGTCCCCACTCAGAGATAGTCTCCACTCAGCTCTGTATTTTCAGCATTTTCCTAGTGATTCTTGCATGTTCATATTTCCTTATAAACTTTATTAACAACTTGTTTAACTTCATTAAAATACTTGGTATTTTTATTAAGACTGTATTAAAATTATAAGTTAGGTAGAACTATCATCTAACATATCAACCAAGAATATGGAATTCGTTCAGGTCAGCTGTCTCTTGGGAGTGCTTATAGTTTTCTTTGTATAGGCTTTGAACATTTTCCTTTCATTATGTCTTTTAATTGGCTATTATTTGTAGATATAAAGCTATTTGTTTTTGCATGTTAATTTAAAGCTATTTGTTTTTGCATGTTAATTTTATTTCCTGATACCTTGATGAACAATTGTATTCTTTTAGTTTGTACTTCCCTTTTCATTGTACACTGTATAACAGGTTTAAAATTTCTAGTTAGAAAGAACTCTTTATTTTCTAGTTGTTTTTAATTTCATTTGGGACTGGTATCACAGCGTTTTTCGTATTTCTGCTTTATAGAAGCTACTGCTGTTTTCTTGGTGCTCTAAGTATCCTTTTTTGTGTGAAAGTTCTATTTGCCTTGGAAAGAAAATGTCTAACATCAGGATGGTAATATTTGATATATATCCAAAATATTTACCTCATTGATTGTATAGCAATTAAAATGAGCTACAGTGACACCCACATTAAGTGAAACTTAGATAATTATGAGGAAAAAGGCAGACACACTATGAGTGTTAGTTGATGAACCTCTTTTCTCCCTTAGAATCTGTCCGTTGGGGGCCTGGTGGCAACCAGGATTGCTGGGCCTTTTTGGCTTTCTTGGGCACCAGACTACAAGTCATTGTGGTTCTGGGAACTGTCCCTGGGTGTAGCCAGAAATCATTTTAACTGTATTCAGAAAAAACTCTCAAATTGGACAATGGATTGATATAACCTTGTAGGTAGGTCCTTTTGAACCAATACACACCCAGTGGTTGTAGCTGATATGACGGCAAGTATTGTGGGAAACAGATACTGTAAGTTCCCAGTGGAGGGCAAAATTTAGATAGGCAGTATGGTTTCCAAATACGCAGTTCCACAGAAGGGCATTCTATCTGGATAGAATGTCATATGATTTAATGATAGGGGGTGAGGAAGGATAAGATGCAAATGGTAAGAGACATGAAACTCGTAATTAGCCCTTTTCAGTCTTCTTTTTCTTCCCTCTATACCTTCCTCTGGGTAACTGGGCTACCGAATTTGCAAGTGGCAAAAAGGAGTGGGGATAGAGGCTAGAAGACTCTAACTGGTGCTTCTTTTACTGCCCAACTTTGCATTGTGGATCTGGCAGATTATGGATAGTTGTGATGATCACAGATACAAGGTGACAACTGCCATGGTATCCCTGGCATAGCTCACATGTCAGGGAGCGAGAGGGATGTTCTAGAATGGTACAGTGTGTAAGGAAGAAACACCTAGCCACCTAGAAATGAACATGTCCAGTTGGTGTGGATTGGACATGGTGAGGATTGGAAAAAGGGTGAAGAGTTTGCTTCAGGGAATTACTGCACCACTCATGTTGTGGAAAGGGAGCAGCAACCCCAGCTTGTAGGAAAGAAACACCTCAGACCCTGGGAGATCAGGAGTGAGGGAAGTAGCATTACCCTCTCTTATATTAAATATCTCTGGAAGAATGCATAGGAAGGGAGTGAAGAGGGAACAGTGTCTTTATTCTTTTGTACCTGCTGAATTTTGAACCAAGTGACTATTTTATATAATTAAAATTAAACATTGACCTAAACCTCAAACTAAAATTTAGAAATTAAACAGTCTTAGTCATAATGCTAGGGCACTACATAAGGACCTAGAATATAAAGTACTCAATAAAAACAAGTTAATTTTCTTTTCAAGTGACGTATACTTAAGTCATACAATTTTCAGATATGAAATTGTTTTAAAGATGTATATATACAAGAATAGTGCAAGCTGTTAAGTTAAATTTTATTGAATACAACTGATGAAGTTAACAGACAAATATATTTTAATATAACAAAAAGTTGTAATTGTTAAGGTATTATCTGCATTTTAAAGGGTTTTTAAGTCAAAGAATTCGCATTTGAATTTTAACTATTTTTGAAATGTAAAATGCACAATCAATAATACTACATATCTTACAATTTTAAAGTTTTAGTGAAAACATTTGAGTCTCTGCAGGTAAAAGCAATAGTTCTCCTATATCTAAGAAAAAAAAATTTACTAAAAAAGGGCCACTGGATTTAGACAATGCCATTTCCAACTGTCTTTGGGGAGGAGGATAAAAGTACATAATAGTATAGAACTAGTCATTTTCATTATACTACTATAGAACTAGTAATTTGCATTATGCTTTGTAATAAGCACGAGTGCTTATTTATAGTAGATATTAACCACAATAAATAACTCCTCAGAAAAGACCAAAACTGACTTGTGACAAGCTGTTCAGTCATTGCTTAAAATAGTCAAGTTCTTTAAAAAGCACAATCTTGAACTAAGATAAACTTAAGTCTACCAATACCAAGAAATAGTTTTAGGGACTTCATATAAATAGAATAATCTGTCTCTTTTATTTGTAAAATAGGTTTCTACCTATTCTAAGGAGGGGAATAGTGGTAGATGGCAAAGTTTGCCAACAAGTATGTTTCTAGCAGGTGAAAGCCTGGTATGCATTACTATTTAAGATGCATCTTTTACAGGAAGAAAACATACTTATTAGATGTATACAGCATTTTTCAGGCACTTGACCTCACTTGGTAGCTAAGTTGGTGTTCAGATGTTTGTTTAATGGAAAAACATTAAATTACATATTGGCTTCAAGCCATGTTTCCATAGAACATCTGTGTTTCATAAGCTAAATCCGTATGTTCCCTGCTAAAATCAAGTACTGATGCCATATACCCAATTCAGAGAAAAAAAAATTTAATAGATTGAATTGTTTTAATTTTTAAGGGTTTCCACCATACATTTTTCTTAAATCTTTGTTGCCTTGTCTGAATGCTAGCAGACAAAAGCCTTGAAAACTATGAAGTATTATGGCAAAATGACATTAAAATGAGAACTGCTGATCAGTATGATATACTGTTCATGGAAATATGCTTATGTCTTCACTCTTACACTGCTTAGGAGCCATATTTTCCCACAGTAAATGTGTTCCTAGTTCATATTATAGAATTCAATATGTAAACATTTCCATGTACCCAAAAGAGCATTATTATCTATTATTCCTAAATATGTCTGGTGAATTTCTACATTAATGGCTGGCTCCAAAACTCTCTTTGGGGTCCATGCCAAAGGAATGCTTTCAGATATCCTAAGTATAGGATTCTAAGATGGGACTGCCAAATTCTATTCTAAAATGAAAAATATATGGCAAGATTCCGGGGTCTGGATGCTACTGTTTCTTTTTTTTTCTTTTTTTTTTTTTTTTTTTTGACTATTTAGCACTTAGTTTAAGTGTGCTGACACTAAGGATTTTTTTTTTTTATATGCATGTATCATGGTATTACAATTTGGGAAAATTATGCAATGTATTTTCAGGCAATTAGCTTTAAAATAATGTAATTTCAACTCTTAGCACAAACAGTCCTGAGGACAATGCGTTCAAATTACCGCTCAACTAGAAATAATGGAATTGAGAAACTTTAAAGTACAAAAACAAGTTCTGCAAAAGTTGTAAATAAAAAAAAAAAGTTACCAACAGTTGAGGCACTACCAGACTACAGTACTTTTAGGAGCTGGGACTTTGGAAAAAAGAACTAACATACAAAGCTATGTGTGCACATGTGCACATGCAAATTGTGTTGTAATAAAAAGTTGTGTCTCCAATTTTACAGCCTAATCATTTTATTGTAGTGTCTCCTATTATGCTCTAACTGCCGGAGAGTTTTGGTAATTAACATAAAGCACTGGTACAGAGATTTGTATCATTAAGGGAAAGAGAGTCAAGAGCTTGGTTAGCAACAATTTCTTCAATTGACTGACAGCCCTTGGAAGGGAGCATGAAAGAATCATAATTATGTTTATGATACAAATGCTAAGTCAAAGTAGCAGTGATATGATCTATGTTGTAGCAAATAAGGTATAACAAAATCTTCACAGTATAAGTAAAATGTTCTAAAAAGAAGCAAATATTCAACCTGTTAATATACATTGGTGAAATGTATACAGATAAAAATGGCTTATCACTGTACAATCTATCAACATGACAGTCCACATTCTATACAAGTTAACTCATGATATTTAACATTTGCTACAAAAAGTACAACAAATACTGGGAATCAACTTTAACATTTCTGATGTCTAAAAAGAATGAAGTGACTTCTGTTCTATGTTAAAAAATACATGTTCCCTGCTTCCTTTTAATATAATTTATAAAGCTTTACTAAATGAAATATTTTGTTCTACAGAAACATCTATTGACTTATGTGAAAATAAAGTCCCATATCTTTAAAATCTATACTTATATATCAAGAGTATTTACACTGCATATATTACTTAAAATGAAAATATTTATGCATAGTTTTTGCCAAAGTGGCAATTCTAATGAAGATAGAGATGCATTATTATAATTATTTGTACATCCTTACATCACAATTGAAAATATATTTATGTGAAGTTTGACAAGTTAGGAAGAACAGGGGCATGCTAATCGAGAGTTAATACTAAATTATAACACCAGCATGGTTAAGAGGGGCTACAAGAATGACCTGCAAGCAGCACAGGTTAATAATTTTCAGGAATTCCTATGAGTAACAGTGCTAACCAGTAGCAAGTAAGATACACATTACAGAGTACTAATAAACTAGAGCAGTGTGTAGTAAGTACTTAAATAGAATACTGGAAAGAATGTAGCCTAATTTTTAATTGTGCTTTAGATGGGCAAAAGCTAAAATGATATACTAAAAACGATCAACTACAACCTCACTCTCTTGTGCTTTAGAAATTTCCTTTTTGCATTTCTCTTAAAGTATGTTGCTTCTTCTCCAAATGGGTTTGCTGAGTCTAAGACAAGATTTAAAAGTGTGTACAAATTCAGCAACTAAAACTTGGGATCTTCTGTTACTAATGCTATTTCCAGTCACTGATTAGGTCAGTTACATGATCCTACATGATATATTTTCCTTTAGAAGACAGGAACAAAGGGCTTTTTAGAGGTCAAGGCATGATGGGAGAGGTCTAAGAGCCAGTCTTAGAGAATTAAGGTATTTCTGAGATAGTGATTTTGTTCTGTTTTGCTCCAATATGATGATTGTTATTGAGTCAAACCATGTAACAATGTTTAAAATTCTGGAAGTAATATACATAGGACTCAAAAGATTAAACAGAAATGCAGTGGTGTCACCTAAAATACCTTTTAAAATAGTTCAGTTTATAGAATTGTTAGTTATATTTCACACCAGCAACTGAATTGTCACGCAACAATCAGAAAAAAAATACATATACTTAAAATAAGTTAAATAATATTCATATACAATATCGCTTCCATGATTCACTTTCAATTCACTTTAGAAAAAAAGTACATAAAATTAATAAAACTTCCAAAATTCCAAATCAATTTAAGTCATTCTCAGTTTTTGTTTAATAAATACCTTAATGTCAAAAAATCTATACTTAAAAATGCTTGGAAAGGGGCCCGGTGTGGTGGCTCATGCTTGTAAACTGCTGGCACTTTGGGAGGCCAAGGCAGGTGGATCACCTGAGGTCAGGAGTTCAAGACCAGCCTAGACAACATGGTGAAACCCCGTCTCTACTAAAAATATCAATAAAAAAAAAAAAAAAAAAAGCTGGGCGTGGTGGTGTGCACATGTAGTCCCAGATACTTGGGAGGCTGAGGCAGAAGAATCGCTTGAACCTGCGGTGCAGAGGCTGCTGTAAGCTGAGATTGCACTCCAGCCTGGTTGATAGAGCAGACTCGGTCTCGGGGTTAAAAAAAAAAAAATGTTGGTAGTATTTACTGATAAATAGTAGTATTTATTCAACATGGTTGGGAAAAAAATGCATTGCGTAGTATCCTGTAAAGCAGATCACTCCCTTAAATGTTGGGGGCAAAGTTAAAAGCAAAAACAACTGAAAAGCAACTTTTCATTTGTATACTAACTGACAAAAGTCCTCACATAAAAAGGTATAGCTTTAATCAACCCTCTTTGCCACTTTTGTGTCTTTCTTTAATATGAGTTGCTAACTTTCACCCAACATCAGTGTCCTTCTGCCAACCGTAAGAAGGAACTAAAACCACCATATATGGTTACATCAAGTCTGCCAATAATTTGGTAAATAGTATGACCAAAATAATCACGTGGTTGCATGTGGCCACCAAAATAACTGACATTTTTTTGATTTAAGAATTTGTGTTTGCCCTACACAGGCTGAAACTGTAACAATTCCAATATATAATCAGTTCATTTTATGTTAAATCTGTAATTAATGCAGAGCAGTTCAACTTACAGGTGGTATTTCAAGACCACTTTATGCTACATTGTTTGATTTAAAACCCTGGTTTATCATTTAACTAAAACACAGGAATGATTTGCTCAGACAAATCACATCTGCTGAAGCTATCTTGTTTGTTTCTTGGACTGACATACTGAAAATCACAGGAATATTATAGGAAACATACCTACAAAATTCAAAAAAAAATTTTTTAAATTATCAATTGCCTGTAAAACTAACCCACCACAATCTGAAAACAATTTAAAAAAGAAATGAGGTTGCTTATGAAGGCTATAGCTTTGGTGACAACTTAGAACCCAACTTTAGATCTGCAGTTGATTCAGACCTAAACAGTGTTCATGCTTGATGTTCCCATTTATTTGCAGGGTTTTATGGCTACAGCATATTCTTCACTCATTGCACACATGACAGACACCTAGAAGCAAAAAGGCAGACAAAAAGTTATTCAGAAGACAATACATATGAAAGATTTAACTAGTTCATTATATATTGTATATTTTTGTATATTTTGTACATACAGGCTTTTGAAAGGGGTACTCTAAAACAAGCTACTTTACAGTTTTCTAAAGCAGAATTTATTTCTTTTTTTTTTTTTTGAGACGGAGTTTCGCTCTTGTTACCCAGGCTGGAGTGCAATGGCGTGATCTTGGCTCACCGCAACCTCCGCTTCCTGGGTTCAGGCAATTCTCCTGCCTCAACCTCCTGAGTAGCTGGGATTACAGGCACGTGCCACCATGCCCAGTTAATTTTTTGTATTTTTAGTAGAGACGGGGTTTCACCATGTTGAACAGGATGGTCTTGATCTCTCGACCTCGTGATCCACCCGCCTCGGCCTCCCAAAGTGCTGGGATTACAGGCTTGAGCCACCGCGCCCGGCCCAGAATTTCTTAAATAGTTGTAAGACAACTTGCAAGGAACAAAGAATAAGAACTATAAATGTTTCAATACTTACTACATGTTACATTTCTGAAAGTTGTAACAAAACACAGAGTAAATCCCCTTCACTCTTTAACAATCCAGTAGCATCATTTCTTACCCTTAAGAATAGCTCAGGGCTAGGCGCTTTGGCTCATGCCTGTAATCCCAGCACTTTTGGAAGGCCAAGGTGGGCAGATCACCTGAGGTCAGGAAGAGTTCAAGACCAGCTTGGGCAACATGTTGAAACTCAGTCTCTACTAAAAATACAAAAATTAGCCGAATGTGGTGGCACACAGCTGTAATCCCAGCTATTCAGGAGGCTGAGGGAGAACCCCTCGAACTTGGGAAGCGAAGGTTGCAGTGAACTGAGATCATGCCACTGCATTCCAGCCTAGGTGATGGAGGGAGACTCCGTCTCAAATAAAAAAAGGTCAGGTGCAGAGCTTCGAAACAAAGTTGGGTTTGAGAATGTTTATGCAGCAAAAATGAACTTTGATACTTTCTTTGGTAATGAGTCTCTAAGGGTTTTATGGAAAACCTGCCTTAGAGATCATTTTCAACATTTTAGCAGTGTTTTTAAACCACATTCCATATGTAGAATTTTGTGTTAACTAGTTGAGGCCAAAGTTTTTTATAAAATGGTTTTCAAAAATAATCTTTCTCTAAGTCTTTACCTGTACATCTTCACCTGCATTGTATTTTCCTTCTATTTCTTTGCCTAGTTCACCTTCTGGCAGTTTAAGATCCTCACGAACTTCACCAGTTTCTGTCAGCAGGGAAAGGTAACCATCTTGAATGCATATCAGCTATTAGAAGAAATTATATCATTTGTGTTGATTAGATTACATTCACTTCTTTGTAATGTTTACATAGTTAAATTGTAATTTAATTTGTATAAGTACACAGCAATACATTAATATTCTTGGTATTTTAAAATGCTAAAAAAATACAAAAAATATAAAATACGTACAGAATGGAAGTATAAGTTTACTCCTCCCAATACTTTCCATCCCCAATCTCTGCGTTATTAAACAGTTTAGGCTTCTTTGTAGTGTATTCCATTTATATTCACAAAATAAATATAGTTGATTAAAAAAAAAAAAGAAATTGGGATATTGTAAGCATTTTACAGTGAACCATTTTGACTTAATAATATGTCTTAGAAATACTTTCTAACCAGAAAATATAGACCTAACTTAGTTGATTTAACTACCACATATCTGCATGGACATACTATAACTGATTTAACCAATTTCACATTACGGGGCATAAAAGTTATTTTTGTTATTACAAACAATGCATTTTTTAATTTGATTATGAGCAAAATTAAGTGGAAATTTTTTGGTCTTCAGCTCACTGCCAACAACAACAACAAAATTCACTGGAGTATTGATAACATTGGTGAAAAAAAAAAACCCAGTCATCAACCCAACTTGCAATAAAAACCCGGTTTTGATATCATTGAACTTATTTACTACAGGAATGAGAAAACAACCAGCCTCCACTCATTCATTATATTAATAAAAGCATGTTCACCATTAGTATGCCCAGAATCCTAACACATTTTATAAAAGGCTATCATCGAGAATACCAGCTGCTAACATCTACAAAAGGAGTCAAAGAGACAATGGTTCTTGAACCCTTGTAACCACTATGATATAAACCAGGCATATCATTAGGATTGCTCTCCTCTACAGACACCACCTGTCAAAACTGACTATGGCTCTCCACAGAAACTCCATCTACCACAGGAAATTTGAGTTTTTCTATGTCTAAAAATCTCAGAAATAAGATCCTACAGTGCTACAACAGGAGTTTTAACTAACCTCTTAGTCTCTCAAATATTTGTGAGGTGGCTGGTAAAGACGTGGGAGCAAGGAGGTTGAGGTAGAAGTGTAATTAAAAAAAAAATTTTTTTTTTAAATGGGGGTCTCAATATATTGCCTAGGCTGGCCTCGAACTCCTGGGGTCAAGTGAGCCGCTGCTTTAGCCTTCCGAAGAGCTGGGACTATAGGTGTGTACCAATGCACCTCACTTGAAGTGTAATTTTTAAACAACCCCAAGATTCCAAGGCAAATCTTTCTGATTTCTGTTCTTTTAGTTAATTCCCCAAAGCAGAGCTTGTCTATTTCAAGAGTCAAATGTTCCTACTGTGTCATTAGTGACTGAAAAACGGAAGCCAAATAATAATACTGATATTTTGAAAATTATGTATGTAATGGATTGATTATTTTTTAAGAGTTAAGAATCATAGGCCGGGCGCGGTGGCTCAAGCCTGTAATCCCAGCACTTTGGGAGGCCGAGGCGGGTGGATCACAAGGTCAAGAGATCAAGACCATCCTGGTCAACATGGTGAAACCCCGTCTCTACTAAAAATACAAAAAAATCAGCTGGGAGTGGTGGCGTGTGCCTGTAATCCCAGCTACTCAGGAGGCTGAGGCAGGAGAATTGCCTGAACCCAGGAGGCGGAGGTTGTAGTGAGCCGAGATCGCGCCATTGCACTCCAGCCTGGGTAACAAGAGCGAAACTCCGTCTCAAAAAAATAAATAAATAAATAAATAAATAAATAAATAAAAAGAATCATAAACTGTGGAATGAAATATATAAAGCACTTCAAATGTAAAATGTATAAACATATAAAACATCTAGTAAAAATGCATTTACAAACATTAAACATTTTATCAAAGTAAATTGCTATATTAAATACAATTAGAGTTTTTAAAAATAAAACTAAGCTACGGAAAAACAAAGATAATGAGAACAAATTATTTAATCCTTTATATGGTTTGGCTCTGTGTCCCCACCCAAATCTCATCTTGAACTGTAATCCCCACATGTCAAAGGAGGGACCTGGTAGGAGGTGACTGGAGCATGGGGGCAGTCTCCCCCATGCTGTTCTCATCATAATGAGTGAGTTCTCTTCAAAGTGTTTAGCAGTTCCTCCCTCACTTGCTCTATCTCCTACCACTATGTAAGATGTGCCTTGCTTCCCCTTTGCCTTCTGCCATGGTTCCTCAGGCCTCCCCAGCCCTGTGGAACTGTGACTCAAATCTCTTTTCTTTATAAATTATCCAGTCTCAGGTAGTTCCTTATAGCAGTGTGAAAATTGACTAATATGGAAATTGGTGCCAGGAGTCTGGGGCACTGCTATAAAGATGTCTGAAAATATGGAAGTGACTTTGGAACTGGGTAATGGGCAGAGACTGGTACAGTTTAGAGGGCTCAGAAGAAAGAAAGATGAGGGAGAGTTTGAAACTCACCAGAAACTTGTTGAATGGATTTGACCAAAATACTGACAGTGATATGGACAGTGAAGTCCAGGCTGAGGTGGTCTCAGATGGAGATGAGGAACTTATTGGGAACTGAAGCAAAGATCACTCTTGCCATGCTTTAGCAAAGAGACTGGCAGCATTTTGCCCTGCCCTAGAGATCCGTGGAACTCTGAACTTGAAAGAAATGATTTGCATATCTGGTAGAAGAAATTTCTAAAAAGCAAAGCATTCAAGAGATGAGCTGGCTTTTTTTTTTTTTTTTGAAAGCGTAAGGTCATATGCATTCACAAAGAGATGATCTGAAATTGGAGTTTATGTTTAAAAGAGAAGCAGAGCATAAAAGTTTGAAAAATGTGCAGCCTGACCATGTAGTAGAAAAGAAAAACCTATTTTCTGGGAAGAAATTCCAGCCAGCTGCAGAAATTTGCATACGAAACAAGGAGCCGAATATTAATAGCCAAGACAATGGAGAAAATGTCTCCAGGGCATTCCAGAGATCTTCATAGCAGCCCCTCCCAACAAAGGCCCAGAGGCCTAGGAGGGAAAATTGGTTTGTGCGCCAGGCCCAGGGCCCTGCTGTTCTGTATAGTTTTGGACTTGGTGCTCTGTGTCCCAGCCACTCCAGCTCCAGCTGTGGCTAAAAGGGGCCAAAGTAAAGCTTGGGCTGTTGCTTCAGAGGGTGTAAGCAGTAATCCTTCATGGCTTCCACATGGTGTTGGGCCTGCAGGTGCACAGAAGGCAAGAGCTGAGGTTTGGGAGCCTCTGCCTAGATTTCAGAGGATGTATGAACCACCTGGAGGTCCAGGCAGAAGTCTGCTGCAGGGACAGAGCCCTCATGGAAAACCTCTGCTAGAGTAGTGTGGAAGGGAAGTGTGGGGTTAGAGCCCCCTCAGAGAGTCCCCCCTGGAACACTGCCTAGTGGAGCTGTGAGAAGGGGGCCACCGTTCTCCAGATGCCAGAATGGTGCACCATGCACCTGGAGAAGCCACAGGCACTCAACACCAGCCAGTGACAGCAGGGGCTATACCCTGCAGAGGCACAGGGCTGGCGTTGCCCAAGGCCTTCGGAGCCTACCTTTTGGATCTGTGTGCCATGGATGTAAGTCATGGAGTCGAAGGAGATTATTTTGGAACTTTAAGACTGAATGGCTGCCCTGCCAGGTTTTGGACTTCTATGGGACCTGTAACTCCTTTGCTTTGGCCAATTTCTCCCATTTAAAATGATAGCATTTACCCAATGCCTGTACCCTCACTGTATCTAGGAATTAAATACTTGTTTTTGATTTTACAGGCTCACAGGCAGAAGGGACTTCCCCTGTTTCAGATGAGACTTTGGACTTGGGCTTTTGGGTTAATGCTAGAATAAGTTAGGACTTTGGGGGACTGTTGAGAAGGGATGACTGTGTTTTAAAATGTAAGAACATGAGATTTGGAAGGGGTCAGAGACAGAATAATATGGTTTGGCTCTTTGTCCTCACCCAAATCTCATCTTGAGTTGTAATCCCCACATGTCAAGGGAGGGTTCTGGTGGGTCGTGATTAGATCATGGGGTGGGTTCCCCCATGCTGTTCTCATGACAACGAGTGAGTTCTCATGAGATCTGTTGGTTTAAAAGTGTTTGACAGTTCCCCCCTGGCTTGCTGTCACTCCTGCTGCCATGTAAAACGTGCTTTGCTTCCCTTTCACCTTCCTCCATGATTTTAAGTTTCCTGAGGCCTCCCCAGCCATGTGGAATTGTGAGTCAATTAAATCTCTTTTCTTGCTGGGTGCAGTGGCTCACGCCTGTAATCCCAGCACTTTGGGAGGCCAAGGTGGGTGGATCACCTGAGGTTGGAAATTTGAGAGCAGCCTAACCAACATGGTGAAACTCCATCTGTAATAAAAATACAAAATTAGCTGGGCATGGTGGTACATGCCTGTAATCCCAGCTACTTGGGAGGATGAGGCAAGAGAATCACTTGAACCCAGGAGGCAGAGGTTACGGTGAGATGAGATCATGCCACTGCACTCCAGTGTGGGCAATAACAGTGAAACTCTGTCTCAAAAAAAAAAAAAAAAAAAAAAAATCTCTTTTCTTTATAAGTTACCCGGTTTCAGGTAGTTCTTTATAGCAATGTGAAATCTTTTAAGTTGAATTATTTATTTAAAAATCTTAAGTTCTATAGAAAAGTTGCAGTAATGCAATGACATCCCATATCTTTTACCTAGATATATCCATTAACATTTAATCACGTGCACTTTTTTCTCTATATGTACATCCAATATATATAATATCTATCATATACATTCTTATTTTTACAGAACCATTGAGAGTAAGCTCCAAAGATCATGACTCTTCAGCAATAAATGCTTCAGTGCAACAATCATGACTTCTTAGCAATTAAAACATCAGTGTTTTTTTCTCAAGAACAAGGATATATTCTTAGGTAACAATTTATTTTTCAAAATCAGGAAATATTGATAACCTATTATTCAATATATAGTCCATATTTAAATTTGCAAATTGTCCTAATACTGTCCTTGATAGCAACTTAT